AACATGGGGTTATTTTAGCATTATGGTCTTCCTACTGCCATCGTGCAGAGAGCCTTTAATTGTCCCTCTATCCATCATACCATTGGTGCAAAATTTCCAGAAGTCCAGAGCTGCACAAGCCCACACCTGGCCACTGCAGGGCTGACCCCCCTTTTTTCGTTTAAAATGTTTTACTCAACAATTGTCCCATCACACCTTCTAGATGAAATCACATCTAGCTTTTTGGGAGGGGAGAGAAAGTGCCCTGGGACCAAAGCAGGAGAGAATTAAAAAAAAACCCTGTAAAATACCCTCCCCTGTGCAGGGGAAAGAATTTTCTGAGTAAAACATGGCTTTAAAAATAATCGGGTATGTGTGTGGTTGGGGGCAAGTCTTTGAGGGGTTGGGATCCCGCAATTTTTTTTGTTCCTGTTGCACATCCACGCCCCCAAACCTTGTTATACTGAAACAGCTCGTATCAAACAACTGAGCATCTGTTTTCTTCGTGTAACATCATTCCTAAAAATGGAGGCAATGCAGTGACACAGGCATTCCTAAATATGTTATAAATCTGCTGTTTCTAAGTTTCTCAGCTAGACCATTCCTATACTGTGACTAATTTTTAAAAAGCTAAAAAAATGTTATCAGGACATTCTGCTGCAAATGTCCAGATAAGGTGCTAGGAATGCTTTTTAAAATGTTGGTAAAGCATTCCCTTTCACTGTTCAGATATGTGTCTTTTAAAAAACCTCACCACTTGTTTTCATAATTTACTGTCATCATCATTGTGTCCTGTCAATTCTGACTTATGGCAACCCTTTGCAGTGCTTTCTAGATAGCAAAGACTGTGGGATGGTTTACCATTCCCTTTTTCTTGGGGCAGCCTGGCCAAGGCCACATGGGTTGGCTCTTAGGGGATGCAGAGTGGAGAACTGAATTCCCAGTCTCTGGCTCTGCAGCCAGATATATAACTCACTGAGCTATTCAGCCAGTGTATGCACAAAGGATTTCACAGCCAGGATCTAATGATTGTTGTGGGTTTTTCGGGCTCTTTGGCCGTGTTCTGAAGGAAGATGCCGGCCACAGACTGGTGAAACGTTAGGAAGAACAACCTTCAGAACACGGCCAAAGAGTCCGAAAAACTCACAACAACCTATCCAGCCAGCTTCATAATTTATACAGGCATTGGTTTCCAGATAACAAATGACTACTTTATCTACATATCACCTTTCAGTAGCTCTCTGTTATCTTCACTATCCATCTTCTGTGATTTCACTTTTCCATACTGCTTAACAACCCCCACCCCCAAAAAAACCCACGGTAGTACCAAAAGGAAAGCTGCCAGTACCTTTACCTGACTCTTGTCCCCTCCCCTCCTCTCTCCTCAGTAATCCTCCCCCTCCCTTAAATACTCACATTCCTTAGTTACACATTATGTTTAGTGGTTTGTTCACACATGTGATATACCTATGTGAGTACAACGAATTTTTTTTTGGAATCTGTGTGGCTTACTTTTTAGAGCAGCAAAACTGGACATGGCCAGTATTTATGCTTTAGCTTCTCACATAAATTTAGTCACTGCCTTTGTAGCACCAACACATCTCCCATGAGTAATGAGTGAGTGATCTATAGGAATTGGGGGTCCAATGCAGCCCCCTGGCAGCCGTCTACTTGTTGGAGAATGAAAGTGCCATGACAAACAGGCAGTAGTTCAAGGCTGAAATAATTAACAGCAATACAAGGTCTATAACTCGGTTGCATATATAGCCTTCGGGAACTTCTTCACATCTCAAGGAGGCATGCAGATAAAATATCTGTAGACTATATTAGGAAAAGCCCCCCCCCCTTTCTTGGCCTGTTTTAATTGTCTTTCCCAGCTGTGCATCTGAAAGGCAATAAAGTATAAACCCACATCTTTCCAGAGATGAGTTCAGACACACTTGTTAGAAGCATCTTGCTCCAAAATCCTATTATCGAATGAAAAGTAGTATGCCAAGAGGCTAACCAAAAAGTGTGATAATTTATAGATAAGGCACAGAAATGCAACCTGCTGTTTTTTCCACAAACAAACAAACAAACAAACCAAACAAACAGCCCATGTCTTATAATTGGTTTTCGGAATACCTTGCTTTTTAAGAATTTTGTTTTATGTGTCAATATATATTTAAAATTCCCAGAATATATGAAGTCATAGCTGGTGGTGCGGGGAAGTCTAATTCCCTCCTGAAAAGGGAAAAATGAAAATCTGAATTTCAAGTTTCTGGCTACAGATGTACACTCTAAATCACAATGAAAGATGGATCCAGTGAGTTCATTGGGGCAAAGTGATACATTCAATCTGGCATACAGAACATTAAGATTTTTTTAAGGAGCATGCACTTTGCAATTCTATATGGGATAACAATTATGTGCTGTCAAGCTGATTCTGACCTACAGCAACCTGCCCTGTGCTCTAGGTGGTTTCACCTGGCCTCTCTCCCAGGAGTACAGAGGGGATTTGAACTCCAGACCTGGCAGCATAACCTAGTGTTTTGAACTAGTGGTTCTCAGCCTTTCCTTTCCTATGTTCTACCAGTCACTTTGTCAAAGAAACCGGATCCCACTGTGACAGAAACAGGAAGGACATTCAAAAGCTTATGAGCACTTTTCATTCTATTTATTATTTACTAAGTTATGCAGCAGTGTTGTTCAAGTAAGCACAAACATCCTGGAAGTAATTAAATGCATTTGTTGACAGATGGTAAGTAAGAAGCCAGTTTTGGCCTGAAGCAAAATGTTGTGGTACATTTCCAACATTTAGTATTCCATCCAGGAACCTAAACAGGAACCCAGCTATGTTGTATGGGCTTCCTCCCACTCTGACAGCTCCCTATAAGCACAAGAGATGAATTCCTAAAAAAAATAAAAATAAAAAAAAATCTCATAGTGCATATCCTGTGCACAGGTCGCTATCCTCAATACCTATATTGTTAAAGACTTGAGAAGATAAATTCTATACTGACTCCAGTGTTCCCTCCCTGGTCCCCTGGCCTGCCAATGAAAGCTTAACTGTTCTTGACCTTGAGCATATGTAGTCTTAGCCACTATGGACCTACCACTTTTTTTCTCCCACACCTGGAGACTCCCAGGTATGAAGGAAACATCTTGGTTGCAGTTTGACTTGTTCCACTCCTCATATGATAAACAAGGAGATCATTATGTTCAGTATTCAAGGGAATTACAAATTAAATATTGGGGATATGAAACATCAATATTATTGCAAACTAAAATGAAAACTGCAATATTCGGGTTAAGAGGTAGCATGTAGATTTATTCTCAGTGCAGAATCTGAAGTTTGCTTTTGAATAAAAAACATCAGAAATGAAGACCCTGTTAAAGCAATGAAAGGTTTCTTCCTTAATCATCCAATTTAATAATTATTTGTTCCATTTCTGGCCTATGGGGCTAGGGCAAGGGAGAAAATACCCCCTCCTCCTATTTAAAAAATTACATTGTCCTGTTCATATTTAGACAAAAGATGAATCTTTACCATTATTTTCAGTATATGCTTGTGGACAGTGGCTCCACTGCTAAAAAGAGTAGTTCCAAGATTAAATTAAATTGGAATTTAATTAATATTAATTAAATTCCAATTCCAAGAAAGAATTGGAATTTAATTAATATTAATTAATATAGATTAACTAATATGGAGTACAAGGATTAGGATTTTTGGTGTTTCCACATATCTTTTGACATGGGGTGCTACAATATGGTATCTCGGTCTGCTGCACAGAACAATCGTTCCTGAGTGTTTGTTATTACTTTGCAGTGTACCTGAACGCTTCCATCCAGGAATGGCCAGCAACAAAACATGGCACAGCTTTCTTGGTGGAGGCACCAAGGCTATAGAACTCCCTGCTGGTGGGGAATGCTGTTTCCCTCAACTGCTGTCAAAATAGGCGGCACTGGAAAACACATTTACTTGCGCAACCCTTTGGTTGATAGGCAAGTATGAAATTTGTTTTACTGTATCTTATTTATTTTTCCCTTATTAGTCTTTCATCCTAAAATTACAATTTTAATAGTGTTTATGTGTTAGCAATCACAGTGTTACAGTTTCATTGTGTGTTTTTTGTAAGCTGCTCTGTACACTTTGTGAGGAAGGGTGGGATAGGAATGAAATAAATTCATTAATACAGACAGACACATAGACAGAAGGAGCATTGCAAGATGATTGGTGACATACTGTATGAGTAAAATAAAATAGCATTCCTTTTGGAAACACATATATAATTAAATGTTGATATAAATTATGTTCCTCAGGAATAATTCCACACACCCCAGCAGTTGGCGTTATTAACAAACAAAACAAATATAGTTCAGAATAATAAGAGAAGTGAGATGCAGAAAATGTGTAATGTCACATTTTGTTTTGAAAGAATCTTTTACTAGGAAGCAAACGGTTAGGAATTCATGTTGAGAATGCAGAGGTGAACAACAGCCAAATCTCACTTATCTGTGCATCTGTACACCATCTTTATAGTTGCATTTATATAATTTGGCAGGCATTCTGCTAGTATAACAATCTGTTAGCCCATGATCTGAATATATTTTTATATCCTTCTTCTGACCCAACTATTTATTTATGCATCCCACTGGATAATACACAGTAATGAGAAAAAGGCAGCAGCATTCATAGACTTTTAAGAGAAAATGAAAAGTTTGATTCAGACTTAAGTCACACCTAAGGAAAACCCAATGAAATCAATGTGATTTGAGTCAGTTATAATTCACTTAAGTCAAAATTGTTTCATTGGATCTGTATTAAATATGACTAGGTCAGAATCCAACCCACCATCTATAACCAAGTACAGAGGAAAAAATGCCATTCTTGGCTTGTATTAAAATTACATGTTTGGGAATGTGACAAGAAGAAATGTGTCCACATATCCCTCTCTCTTGAAGGAACCCACAAAATGTAGACAGAAATACATAACAGATAACATAACTTCTTCAGGGACTGGCTTCAAAAAGAAACATACCTGATTCTGGACTTGTTTGATTGCAGCTGCTCACAATGCTGTTTGGTATTATTGGTGTGGAGGGTGCTTGGATTCGTGGCTGAATGGGGTTCAGATGTAATGAGTTTCCTAAAGCCATTCCAGACTGATTCAGTACCCCACAATTTCCACCGGCTTGCATCTGATTTATTAAACCTGCTAGATGGTTGTTTGGGCCAGGGCTAGTGCCGTGGACAAAGTTAGTGTTTGGATTCTGGCACTGCATACTTTCCCCTCTTAGAGGTACATCCTGTGCCAGTGAATTCTGAACAGTGCTAGAGTTCATATTAGTGTCTGCAAAATGCAGTTGGTTAGCAGAGCAAGGCAAAACCGTATTTGAGCTCCCACAACCAGAAGTACTATTGCTGCTCATGTGAGAACTTTGACAGCTCATGGACTGAAGCAACTGGGACATCGATGTAATGGGAAATGAACCCTGGTTCTGCTTCCGTATCAATTCGGGTCCTGATTTTGGAACCCCAGAACTATCCAACTGAGACTGCCTAAGCAAATTCAACACTGTAGTGGTTGGTGGTTTTCTTTTTCTCAAAGAGTCTTTTTGTTGAGACATCAATTTATCTCGTAGTGCTGCTCGACCACTTTGCCCTTCGCTTTGCCCTGACGGTAAAAGCACGTTGGCAGTAGGAGGAAACATGGTGTTTAAAGTGCTGTGTCCATCATTGCTGCCACTGTTGGCAACAGTTCCAGAACTGCTACTGCTGTTGCTATTGTTACCAGCAAGTTTATTTTGATTTGCTAGCTGTGCTTTGGCTGCTGCTGAGAGTAAACTACTAGCTGGAAAGGAGGCAGCATTGTGCTGGTTCAAGATCTGATTTAAAGGCATTCCTAGCAAGCCAGGCTGACTTTTCATGGGCCCACTTCCGGCAGATGCAAAAACGGCACTGCTCGGAGGGTTTAATACATTACTCATTCCAGCAATTAATGTGTTAGGGATGTCCTTATACGGATGGAGTCCATCAGTCTTTGTTGAAGGACTGGGTGGCATGGATGGTCTAGGTGACCCTATGGTTGACCTAGGTGATCGAGGGGGAACTTTAATATTACTACAAGATGACTGCGGCCCTACTGGAGGCATCATGAAGTTTCCATGATCGGACGATGTGGAAGATGAGCGTGATCTTTGGGGCGAAGCCTCAATCCTTCCAATTCCAGATCCCATCATATGAACTGGCGATGTTACTGGGGAGGGTGAAAGAGAGGTTGAAGTAGAGTGCTGCATTCTTTGCACGTGGCTCCCATGGTTTGTGTGACCAGGTTTTACAGTTGGCAAAGGGAGATTACTTGGTAAAGGAACGACAGCTGGAGGCATGCTTACATTCATCACAGGTACCTGAGAGTGGACACTTGAATGATAAGTACTTGGATTAATGATAACAGGATTCTGATTTACTGGTTTGCTAGGAATGGGGTCAAGAATGCCAAGTGGATCTTTCTCGGATGTTAATGGCTTTTTCTGAAGAGCACAAGGTGGCGGTGGTGGTGGTGGTGGTGGTGGCGGCGGCGGGCCTTGAGGTGATTTGTGGTGAAACATCGCTCGTGGCATTTCCATACTTGATGAAAAATTACACATGGGCTTTTTCATTACTGGACTTTTTGTGTTCAGCGTTGGGGAGAGAGGTATATTAGTCCTTCCAGCCATTGCACATGATGACTGCACAGGAGAACCATGTAGCATTACTGAAGGTGGCGACAGAGGGGTTCTGTTCATATGAACAGGACTAGAGTTGGGTGCTCCATGAAAATTGGAATTATTCCTTGTGAAAATATCTGGACTTCCAAGTGGGTCTGTTCTAGGAGAGATGGAACCATCTCCATAGATCTGTGATCCCGATGAAGCTGGACTAGGCATTCCTCCATGACTGCCACGATATGGAGACTTCTGTCCATGTTCATTGCTACCCAATCGCTGCCTAGGGTAGACAGAATGAAGTTCTTGTTGCTGGCTTCCAGGCATCTCCTGCACGTACAGCCTACCCATGGCATTTGAGGCCCCCATTGTCAACTTGAAAGGAGTTTTACATTCTGGCATCACAGAATTAGTAATTCCTTCATGTGATTTATTTCTTATTGATCTTGGAGTTGCTGCTCGTGAAGGTACTACTGGAGTTGCACCTGATTTAGAGTATGTGAGAGTTAGTATCTTGAAAATAAATTGAACCTGATGAAAACAGAATTCAACTCTTTCCTCTGGATAAAACTGCATACAGCATTACAATGGGAACACTACATACAGAAACATAAGAAGTGATAAAGGTCTTGAATCAGGGGTTTTGAGTGGATATGGTTAATAGGTTATGCACCTTACTCACTGTGGGTTGACAACTTGCAATGGGGGGGGGGAGTGCTGGCCTGAACAGAAATCTTGGGAACTCCTCTGACAAGCTACAGTATGTGGATGATCAGAGATTTCAGTATTCAGGGATCAAGTAATACTCCAAGCCCCAGGGTAAAAAACAGTTGTCAGCAAAGTGGTGAGCACTTGTGAGGTGTTGGCACTAAAGGAGCAAAATCTTCAGAATTTCTGAAGCCACTGAGAGAGTGGGGAGAAGAGGCTTTACCAGGTTTTTTGGGGGGTGGGGGTGGGAAATTGTGGGGAACATTGAAAAGTATGCAATATAAAGTAAATATTATTTTACTCTTGCAGCAGCTTATAGGGTTACATTTGTGAGTTACGTAGCATGCAAACACATATTATTCAGAATATTTAAGAAATTTTAAAATATAAGAGCCTTAACTTTGTACAATCAAAATTGTGACAATACTCTATGCTAAGAGAGCTACAAACTGTTGCACTGCCATTTAAATTTTGCAATGAAGGCACCTTAATGCTCCTCTCATTATGATGTCAATGCTCACTGGGTGCAGAACTGAATTCTGAATTTAAGAGTTATGTATACTTTATGTAGTCTATATTATGAATATGACATTATGAATGGGAATCGTAATTCTCTAATTCTTACATAAACCCTTGTGTTTAAAGGATTTCATTGAATCATAGAACTGTAGAGCTGGAAGGGACTACAAGGATCGTTGAATCTATTTCACCCACGATTTACGTTACTTTACTTTTATTTAACTTATACCCTGCCCCTCTAGACAAAGTCTACTCGGGGCGGCTTACATGAGTAATAAAATGCAATAATATAACATACATAATAATAAAAACCTACTAACTAATATGTATATACATTATCAAGATGGGGTAGTTAAGAAACAAAAATCAGTTAATTGACTGGAACGAAGGTCTGCCTACAGAGCCAAGTTTTTAAATGGCTTTTAAAAACGCCCAGCGAGGGAGCCAGACGGATTTCCATTGGGAGGGTATTCCATAACTGAGGGGCCACTGCCGAGAAGGTCCAGTTTCTTGTTCTTTCCTTCCGGGCATCTCTTGGCGTAAGGCCCCTCAGCCATCCCTGCTGGCTTTGTCAAGTGATTTGGGTAGATCTGGGTGGGAGAAGGCGATCTGCCAGGTATCAAGGTCCCAAACCATTTAGAG